CCCATTTCCCCAAGCTGCAGCCAGTTTCGCTGCCAAATAAAAATAACCTACAGCCTTCCACCTTGTCATCATCCCTTTCCTGGTTCTCTCTCAGGTACTCAAGGATGTTCAAAACTGAATACTAGCGACCATCAGAAATGAAAAGCTGAACTTCAGGGTAGATCTGACCAGAAAGTCAAACCTGTTCTTGGCTCTGCACAGTAGGGAGAGATCTCTTTACTTGCTGTCTAATCACGACAGCTTTTTGAGCGGAAGTTCTATGAAGAAACCCCTGCTCCAGCTCCACCCCGTGAACTGGGGATTCCAAGGTCACTGGCACCACTGGAAAAGACAACTGCAACAACTCAGCACGTAGTATCATAAGATGGTGTGCTTCTGAGAACTTACTTTGAGCCATCCACCTGACCAAACAGCATCACCACCATCATCTATAAAATATTAACTTTATGGGGCAGGAAAGTGGTACTGAGATGTACTAGCCTCTGTCAGGATGGAGTTTACTTCTTTGAAGATTCAATTGAGGAGGCTACATGACGAATCTGAATAATTAGGAGTCTCTTTTTTTTCTTCATTTGATTTCGGGATTTGCAGTGTCACTTTAGGTAAAAACCGCAGACATGTCACCTAGGTTATGAGAAAATAAAAGCTTTAAACAAAGAAGAAGCCAAATTTGAGGAGAGAGGAGATGTTGTTGAACTTGAGTCTGTATTTCTGAAGAAGAATCTCCTGGAATTTTGCAAAATCAAAGAACACAAACATCATCTTTGTGTTTATATTAGGGAGTAAGCATTTTAAAGCATGCGATATGTATTTTAAACATTCTTTTTAATCTTTCATTGCATCCAAAGAATGCTAATAGTTACCAAGTTGTTCTTTGGCAGAGTAACCTGACCCTCCCAGAACACAGAAAAGGAAAGAAGTGTGATAGGATGTGATTGTAGCACAAGACAAAGTTGAGTCCTCAACCCTGAGCAGATACTACCTAATCCAATGTTGCTGACCCAGGTTACCCGGGAACAGTTCTCTTCGTTGCATTATATACATTATAGGCAATGAAAGACAGTTTCCATGGCTCCTTATGAAGAGATTTTTCTCTTTATTACGAGAGCAAAGTGGGGGCTTACAGATACTGTCTGAGCTTATCTTTGAGTGGCTCAGCCTCCTCATATATATGCCATGGTTTCCTTCAGTTGGTGCTGGTTATCTCAGGAATAAAGTATTCAGTCTCTAGAAGCAGGTTTCTTCCTACACCCCGAAAACAGGAGGACGAATATCGTGTTACATGTGCTAAGATGGTTGAGCGTCACTAGTTACAATCAGCTTTTCAAATCTACACTGAGTGCATCCCCAGCAACTCATGGCATAGTAAGGAACACGGATGTTTGTAAGGACACATTCCTGAGAGGCAGCAGTTCTAACAGCCCAGTGACCTGGCTTACTCATTCCGGTTTCTTTGTGCAGAGGCATTTTGTTTTCCCAAGTCCTTCACCATGTGCTAACAATTAGACAATGACTCCATAAATGAGTGTCATGGACGGTGGGTGGTGTGTTTTCTTAGTCCTTTATTGAAAACATATGGAGATATTTATATATAAATAGAAAACAAGAGAATGCTGCCATCATGTTAGCAGCAGCTAATAAAATTCTACATGAATAGAAATTAAACATATCTCTACCTACGCCAGAATTCTGGTTTACTGACATCTGCACATCCTGTCTAATTCAGCTTGAAAGGATGTTTTATTATTTTAGGTTTTGTATTCCTAGTTGGAAGGAAATTTTGGGGCAAGAATTGTTTTTTGCTTTTGTTTTTTGCTTTTGTTTTGTTTACTCCTCCCTTTGCCTAATCAAATTACTTTATTAGCAAGGATGATAAATTCTGCCCAAGTAGACCTTGCATTATGATCATGAAAAATCATTTTAAACGCTATACATTTAACTACAGTCCCTGTATTTTAAAATTAAAAGTGAGGACTTATGGCCTGACAGTTGGGAGAAAGTGTCAGCAGATAGGGTAGTGGAGGGCTTGAGAGCTCGGGCTCCGGGAGGCAGACCTCTCTGCATTTGCCTTCTGGCTGCTCTACTTACTAACAGGGTAACTTCGGGAATGTTACGTAATGTTACCAAACCTCCATTGTTTCATCTGTGAAAGGAGAACTATAATCGCACTTGTCTCATAGAATGATTGTGAGCATTACAAAGGATAAGCTGAAAAGCGTTTCACACAATGTCTGGCCCATAGGCAGCCCTGCAGAAATGCCTCCTATCATCACTGTAAGCAGCTAACTGAATGGTTTATGTGAAGGCCATCCTTAGAAGTTTGAAAGGTCCAGATGCTTTGTAAAACCAGTAAGGACAACCTTATTAAGTGCTAATTATGCACCAGGCTTTACAATGAACTCTTTCTTACAACTCTGTGAACTGCTGCCATTATCATACCCATTTCATAGAAGAAGAAACTGAGAGGTTACAAAGACTGCATGAAGACACACAGCCAAAGATTGATTAATCTGAGGATCAAACCCAGTCTGAATAATTGTAAAGCCCATACTCTATCTCTCTGCTAAACTGGCTGCCACACATACCTTTAAAAGCTTCTTTATATATATCATTCTCTATGTTCCTAGCAACATCCTAGGACATTGTACAGAAGCATTCACAAACTATGGAGCCCCCTTTTCCTAGGACATCTGCTCATTTGCAATTTAAGAGGGCCAAGAAGTCCTTAATGCACATTTTGTGAGGGGCGCTGGCAAGTTCAACTCATGCAGCCACTTTCACTTTGGCCCACAGAGGTCTTTCCTTTGAAGGTGCTCAAAGCTCCATGTGCCCAGGCTCATTATTCAAGCTTTGGAAAAGAGCATTTGTCCTACTCTACAAGATGGAGAAGCTAGAAGCCAAGATGACATGACTTGGGGACAGAAGGAGAAAGCCATCCCCCTTGGTAGCCCAGCATAGAATAGAATAGAATAGAATAGAATAGAATAGAATAGAATAGAATAGAATGGAACAGAGTGGGTCCAGGTCTATATCCACCTCCCCAGGCTGCTCAAGTGTTGGGTCTGACAGCCAAACTGCTACCTAGCCCCACTTTAATCTAAATAGTGCAAGACTTAGGAGTGCTTTGTCCAATTTTCTTACTGGAAGAATGGGATCTGCCTGCAGTATGGGAACCCTCCCATATAAGATCATCCAATTTTGTTTTCATTTGCAGATTATTGTGATGTTTCTATTCTCCTTTTTATAGGAGATCGAGTTTGGGGTGGGGAGCAGCAGGGCATATAAAGGGAGAAGGTTAGGACTGCCAAATGACATGTCAACTTCCTGACCTGGCGTCCGTGTGCTAGTTACACGAGCCCTAAATGTGTGAGACATCAATGCAAATATTTTGCATATCATTAGCTCGAATGATGCTGCTGTTGTGCAATAGCCACAGCTGAAAGCTGAGATGACACTTTTTATTATAAATGCCTCAGGTCTTTCTCTGAAAATCACCATGAAGACAGAAATCCCTTGGAAGTGAGAGTGGAAATATGAGAAGACTTCTGCTTTGTTAACTTTCTCAGTCATTAACAACGATAGCAGCAACGTGTTGGTATCCCAGGGCCCCCCTGTGGATCCGATAAATGCCAGCAACATCCTCCTTTAGAATCCAGCACTGTTCTTGTCCTTGTGACAACAGTACACTTCCATGGCAAGTTAGGAAATCATTGTAAAAGGGAATCTGTTCTAGAAAAAAACAAAAAAAAAAACAAAAAGCCCATACCCCTCAAATTGTTACATAAGTGAAAAATCATTTGAATTCATAACAAGCCTTACTTATCACTCCATCCCGTGCTAGCGATGGCAGCTTGGAGTCCGAGAAAGCAGAGGATTCCAGACTCAGCTCTACCATTTGCCAGCTGTGTGACTTTAAGCAAATCACTTGACCTCTCTAATCCTCAGTTCCTTTTCTGTAAAACAGCAATAACCATAAAGCTGCTTTTTCTACTTTATGGGTTATGGAAGCAGATAAAAGGAGACTGCAAATGTGAAACTGCTCTGGAAGCTCTGTACAAATGTTATTATTGACTTCACTAGGTGAGTAATAAGGAATGACTAGCAGTGCCGTCCAACAATAACATGGGAATAACTCAACTAGGTAGTTGGTAGTTGGTAGTTGATCAGTCTTGGAGAAGTGAATGGCTCCTGGCAAACAGATAGGCCAATGGTAAGGGCTTTAAACTTGTGAGTCCAGGGCGATGTGGCAATTTAATTGTACCGCCTGGCCGACAGTCTCTCATATTCTAAGCTCTTGCAGTGACAATGTAGGCTACGTGAAATCACTGCATGCTTTCTTAGCAGACTTTATTTGGAAAGAGTTTACAAACTAGTGGCCTGACAGAATTGCCAGGGTTTTAAGTGCTATGGCCGTACAGCAGACAGAGCAGTGTTTCATGTGTTGTCCTATTACCTCCCTCCCTGGAGATTCAACAGATGGAGCAACATCAGAAACCCAAGGCAAACCTGTCCGTTTGATGCCCAGAAGCTTCAGCAGAACTCATGATTAAAATAAGATCAAATACCTATTTAGAGGAAAGAGGTACAGATAAATAGGTCCTCAGGGCATACCTTCTTTTGTCTGAGCTTGACGAACACTATCTGGAGATACCTACCATGTAGGAGGCATTGTATCCCCGTGCACACTAGGCATTTGAGAAAACTGGTTGAAAGGCTATGATTGCTAGTAGAAAATAATTGAGTAACACCAACATGAGGCTTTATATTTCCTTTGATTATATTTTTTAAATCCTTCCAAGTCAACTTGAGTTTGGCAAATTCCAGAATGAGTAATTGTGCATCCCAGAACGCTTAGATAATATGCAGACCAGACCCTAGGTCAGGCAGAGTGGCCTGTGTTTTGGCAAGAACTGCTGAGGAGATATTGTTGTTTGATAGTTCCCAAGGAGAAGGCAAAGAAGCAACAGATAACGAACCAAACACTTTTCTCTTTTGTTTAGGCAAATATTTCCAACTACAGCCTGGTGATGGAGTCTGATCAGGGAACCTTCTTACCCTCTGGGCTGCAGTTCACTGGCAGTGAAAAGGCCAGGGCCATCATGGAGGAGGTCATGAGCCTGCTGCAGCCAGTCAATATCACACAGGTCTTTAGGGCTGGAGAAGGGACAGACATTAACTTCTGGATCCAAGCTGGAGTGCCTGGTAAGACCAAAAAATGAAGTCGGTGTTCTTTAGGTACTGCTACTGATTTAAATCAAGGTGCTATTCAAACATGCCACAGCAATACCAATAGGCCAGTTAGTACATGGAAACTCTAAGCTTTTGTCTATAAAGTATAATCTGATGATTTCCAGACTTGGAATACTAATATTCATTTGCGTTTGTTTACCTATTTGTCTTCTTTTTCTAAATTATAAGTTCCTCACTCCCAGAAATTCTGCTTTAATGATTCTGGCATAGGACCTACAAATCTGTTTTTGTTTTTGCTTATTTTTTTAAACAGGTATCTAAATGGTGATCTCATGACCAAAATTTGAGAACTAGAATACAAGGCAGTTATTACTGCTGCTAATACTTCTAGTTTTGGTTCTCTGCTAGGAAATCTTCTCTGACCCAAATAATTTCTGACCCAAATACCATGGTATCTGAAATTTTACCAGTAGAGCTTTATTCTTTGAGGGTTGGGTGCTTCCTACTAATCATTTTTTTTCTTAATGCAGACTCTTATATGAGGTTAGACTAAACTAATTTTCCCTGATCAGTGATTTATTAGGTTGATATTTTTAAGACAAGTCCTGGGCAGGAGTGAACTTACAGAACAGGAGTGGGCCTCAGGAGGTCACAGGACTACAAAGTAGAATAATCTTAGAGAGACAAACTTATACTACTTCACAAATTTGCCCTAGACTGGCCGCGAGAAAGGGTTATTGACGATGGTAAGCATCTATGACCTGAAGTTGTTCCCTCATTATATCCATAATTCAAAAGCACTGTTAAAGGATCTATTTGCAGATTTTTCTGTATTTATATTATGCCAATAGGAAGTCTACCTTTTCAGTAGTTTTAATATTACTGTTTCCAGAACCATTTCTGTGGCTATAAAACATTTTACAGGTTAAAAAGAAAAGCATCTCTCTCTAGATCCACCCACTCCATTTCCCCCAGCCTGCAAAGTAGATTTCACCAATAGCATACTGCATGGATTTAAGATTTTTAAAAAGCTTATTCTTGAGATATCGTAGATTTTTTAAAGAATATTTTAGGTTTTAAGTTTTATAAAAATCTTTCATAACTAAAAATAGAAGGAGCTTTCCTTTATTCTAATACAAGGACCTAGATTCTCTTCAATGGTGTGTGTATATTATACCCATATTTTGAAATATCTTAAAACAGCATTTGCATTTATGATGCTATGCATCATCTGGACAGATCTGAGACTCCCTCCATATCTGTCATTTTTAATCATGATCAAGGTCTATAGGAAGGGAATTTGCCCTTTTAAGTTATATGGACGAATTTGTTTGAATTCTAGATTTTTCCTGAGCCTTCCATTTTTTCAATAGGAGTCTTCTTAAAAATTGAGAAAACCTGAGTTAGTTTGCAGGGTGGTAGCTATGAGGAGAAGACTGACAGACTGTGGGTGAACTGGAGTGGAGAAGGAGGGCACAGAGGAGGAGCTGAAACCAAAAACACAAGTAGAACAAAGAAACTGGTACTCGCTGCTCTCAGGGATTGTGAGCTTTTGTTGCATTGGATAGTTGAGAATTTGCTTGAGCTTTATTCTTTCCATGTAGATAGTCATAAGAATGGTTCTCTTTGGAATTAGCAGGTTGATTTGATTGTCTTCACAAAGGTAAGGAGGCCTTTCCCCTCTTGCTAAGGTGAGGTCAAATCTGATCACCAACTAATGGAGTGGAGTGGGGAATTTGAGTCCCATTATGGTTTCTTGAGAATTAATAAAAGTTACAATTTATTGAGTTCCTGTTACTGATCAGGCACTCTGTGAGGCTTTTGCAGATACTCTTTTTTATCCATACAACCATCCTAAGAGGAAGGTACAATTATCCCTGTTTTGCACTTGAAGAATCGGATTCAGAGGGACTAAATAACTTAGCAGAGGCTATCCTGCTCTTAAGGGCAGAAGTTACCCTGAGAACAGGCCACTTTGTTTTCAAGGCTGGTGGCCCTTTTCCCACAATGTGCAACAACACAGGGGAGTCTGGAATGCTGAGATGGTCTTCCAAATCTATGGCAGTGTCTGAAATGTTTGTCTTACTCAGCTCTTGCTTATGCAAAGGATTTCAGTACATTCCTGCTCCAGAAAAATTTACCCCTGGGGAAAGGAGTTTATTATTGTAAATAACTACTTATTTCTTCTCACATTCTTTATTCCACTCCCCTCTGTACCTCTGTAGATCAGGAACGTTTGTAAAAAGTCAGTGGTTCATTTAGACTGCAGCTAATGTTTCTTGGAATTCTTTTTAATTTCTTTAGAATACTGTAAGATGGAACCAAATTATTGCTCTCTTCCCCTATTACCACTGAGCTATCTTTTGATATTTCAAATGTGGGCTATTTCTGGAAGAAATAACGGAACTGCTTATGTTGTATCTCCTGCTACCTATTGAAAATTTCAGGAACTTTAGAAAAAGGTGAAGAACCATAGTTAAACAGAAAAAAAAAATAAAAATAGGCCAGCTGTATACCCTGTGTTCCTGAAAACTGGCATGTTGTAGTAACTTAAACATAAAGTTGGAATGCTAAATACTAATTAAGTTATGATTTACATAACTGCTCACCTAACTTTTCAAAAATTAATGAGAAATAATGTTCCCAAAAGAAAACACCAGACCTTTCTTCTTTCTCTTTTTCTTTCCTTTCCTCCATTGATTCAATAAATGTTTATTGAGCCCCCATCGTGTCCTAGGCCTATCAAATTTCTGTAGCCTGTTGGCTGGTCCCCAGTTTTTTTCATGTTCTGTGTGTACTCAGTAGTGAAATACTAATTAAGAACACAGAATTAAAATTCATGTGATTTTTCATTAATTATAAAAGCCAAGTAGATTGATTGATGAAAGGTTCACCTTTGGAGAGGAGAGATGCTGTCCTTCATCCGTCTAGATGATGTCCATAACGGACATGATAACTATCAACATAAGTATAAGGCTTTGGGGGTGATGCTTTTTAAAGGAAAGTATCTTAAAAGCAGGAAAGAATGTCCAATGGAAAAAAGACAGTCTCTTCAACAAATGGTGTTGGGAAAATTGGACAGCCACGTGCAGAAGAATGAAACTGGACCATTTCCTTACACCACACACAAAAATAGACTCCAAATGGTTGAAAGACCTAAATGTGAGAC